CCTGGAGACAGCCGCTCTGCCCTCCTCCCCACCACTAGGTGGTGGTCACAGCACGGAGGCCCACAGCCTCGCGCAGCGCCCGCATGCTGGCGCTTCTTTCACTTTTTCCGTGAGCGATACTAAAGGAATGTGTGTTTGGGCCTCTCCCTGAACAAGGAAGCCCGGCGGCCTAGTCACCCCCAAGGTCTGCGGGTACTCGGGCTGGCCCCGCTGCTCTGTAGGGCCAGCTCCTGGCATGCCCTGAGAGCAGGGGCCCCTTTCTCCCACCCGGCTGTGTGCCCCCAGCACCCCCAAATGGACATTGCCCCCTGATGATGTCGTTTCCAAAGCACGCATGGAGAGCACACAGTGCAGGGAGTTTGGGACTCTGAGCAAATCCGCTGGGAAAAAACAAAAACAGCTGAGCGTTCTCAGTGCACTGGGTCAGAAGTGTCCCCTCCCGTGGCGGCTTCCTCGAGTGTTGCTGCGGGTCCGCAGTGGGTTCAGTCCTCAGTTTGGGTTCCTAACCTTAACGTCTTCGAAAGAAGGAAAGAAAGAGGAAAATGTATCAGACAGGCCCAGCTGGTTTAGTATCCTGCCTTTTTTTATTTTTCAATCTCTCCACTGTCATCACGGAGTCTCAGAAAGCGTGATTTGATGCTTCCTGCTGATGGGTCAGGAGTCCTAGCAGGGTGGTGAGATGCGTGGGGCTGCTAACCCCAGGGTCAGCGGTTTAAAACCACCAGCCCCTGGGAGGGAGAGAGATGAGGCTTGCTGCTCCTGTACATAGCCCCGGTCTCAGACACCCACCGAGGCAGTTCAGCTCCGTCCATCCTGTGGATGGGTCATCACTTGGGGTACCAATTTCCTCTCGCTGGACCTTCGGGCGGCTGCCCCCGCAATAAATACCTTCCCCACATCCTCGCTCGCACCCCGTCGTGGGGGCGGTGGCGGTGGCGGTTTCCTGGGGGAGATTTCGAGATTGCAGCGCATGGGTCAGAGGTGGCGGGCTTTTTTAATGTGACCCCAAACAGCTTCCCAGAACCCGCAGAGCGGTCCCCCCGTTGGCTCGTGGCAGGTGAAAGCGCCTCTTTCCTGAGTGGGCTGGGAGAGGTCATCGCCCCTGGCCCTGGGACCACAGTGGCGTCTGAGGACAGGAAGGAAGAGACGGGGAGCGGTTTTCCGGGACCTTCTCCACCCCTAGGGCCCAGAGGCTAGCAAAGGCCTGCCCTTTTCCTGCCGTCCACCTCCCAGGCTGCCGCTAATGGCCCATCTCACCCCTAAGGGGCCTCCCGCAGCAGGCATCCTCTCTGTCCCTGAGGCCACTGCCCCTGCGATGCCACCCCCACCAGGCAGCCACCGCAAGGCTGGCATGGGACACTCACAGACCCTCTGTCCTCTGTCCCCCCAGGGCTCCGAGTGGAACGCATCCAACCTGGAGGAGCTGCAGGGCTCAGGGTGAGTCGGTCCTCCCTGTCTCCCCTCCTCACCCTCCCAGGCAGCCCCCCTGGGGACCCCTTGTCTCTCAAGTGGCTGCCAGGGCTGATTTGCATCTCGAAACAGCTGGGGTTCCAGATGCCACGTCCTGAATAATTCAAGCAGTGAGGTCCTGTGTGTCACAGAGGCTGCTTCTACATCACCCCAGATTGGGACAGACAGCCCGAAGGGTGATGGGCCAGGCAAGAACCCCCACCACGGCCCACGGGGCTCAGTGCCCGACTTGGACCTGCCTCTGCTGAGCGGACCTGGCCGGGCCTTGGGGGACTCTTGCCTCCGAAGACGTGGCGCAGCCCACGGAGCCTGTCCGTCTGCCTGAGCATTCACCAGGCCCAGCCGCCCCGATTGCTTGACTGCGGACCTTCAAAAACAGATGTCTGGACATTTCTTTTTTAAAAAAGAATAAGTAAACGACTACAACCCAGCCACAAAATCCCTGTCCTGTGGGTCTGACATGATGGCCTTCTCAAATTACTACGTTGCAAAGTCAAGACTAAACAAACCTTAAAATACATCTCGAGAGCGGCGGGTTAAATGAGTTCTTGACGTTCCCTGCCTTGCTGGGAGTGAATGAATGAATAAATGCCTGGACACAGGTCTTCACGGAGCCCTGGTGGTGCAGCGCTGAAGCACTTGGCTGCGGACTGGAGGGGCGTGGTTAGGACCCAGCACCCAACTGCTCCGTGGGAGAAAGACAAGGCGGGGCCTCTGCTTCCCTGGAGTACCCGGCTTCGGAAGCCTTCCGGATCTGTCTTGTAGGGCCGCTGTGAGTCGGGTTTTCAGAGGTCTTGTAAAAGCATTTATGAGTAGTCTCGTAACCGATCGGTTTGAAGTGGTCTGTAGTGAAAACAGAAGTGCTGCCCCAAGTTAGAAAAGCACACAGCTGGCACCTGTGGACCCTCTCGGAGATTTCCTGACGGCGTTCCCATCTGCCCCGCGGCCGGCCGGCTTTCATGCCGTTCCCAAGGATATAAGTAGTGGGTGGGCACCCTCTCCTGTTTAATGCCTTAAAAGCAGAGGCTTTTCTGTACAGCGGCTGTAGACTCATTCACCAGGAAGCCCGAAGCTCTCAGGACATTAATAGGTGTATTTCATCTCCAGCATCAGCATTGCTCTGCAATACCTTGAAATGATTTTTTGTACAAGTTTCTTTAAAGATAGAAAGTGGGGTTTTCTTTTGTGTGTGTAGATTGCATTCTCATAGCACGGAAGGCATTTAGAACAAACTAAACAGGAAGCTGACTGCTAAGTAGTCGCCCCACCACCACCACCATGCTACTGTTAATGCTTTTGCTGCCTTTTTTTCTCTGCTTAGTTTTTTTGGGGTGGGTGGGGGTGGGGTAGCCTCTGTCATTCCTGGTTCTGACTCTCCAAACTTGTTTGTGTGTGTCTGTTGGTGTTTCCCTCATTGCAGCGTTGACTACATTTTGAACGTAACACGAGAAATCGATAATTTCTTCCCTGGCTTATTTGCCTACCATAATATCCGCGTCTACGACGAGGAGACCACGGACCTCCTCGCCCACTGGAACGAAGCGTATCACTTTATAAACAAAGCAAAGTAAGTGGAGAGGAGAGCGGCAGCAATGAGGCCTCGTAAGATATTACGGTGGTTCTCTGGAGAAGCAGGAGGCAAGACCGGCGACTCTGTGTGTGTGTGTGTGTGTGTGTGTGTGTGTGTGTGTGTGTGTGTGTGTGTGTGTGTGTAAAGTGGGTCACACAGTTGTAGGAGCAGTTGTGCATCAGGTGTTAAGCCAAAGGCTCTTCTTGACTCGGTTGTGTGTGTGTGTGTGTGTGTGTGTAGAAAGTGGGTCACACAGTTGTAAGAGCAGTTGTGCATCAGGTGTTAAGCCAAAGGCTCTTCTTGACTCGGATAGTTGCCAGGGCTGGGGAACCAGGAAGCCGAAGCGGGGCAAGAGGACGAAGTAGGAAGACCAAAGCCGGTGGATGCCGAGGTTGATGAACAGAACAGATGGTAGGCTCTGATCGCTCCCAGGGTCAGCAGGCAATGGTAGGGCTCTGATAGCTTCCGGGCTTGGCAGACAATAAATACAGCAGGCCGTTGGCTTTGGTCAAAGAACAAAGGTAGATGCAGCAGATAGAGGATCCATAGCATCTATTTATACCCTGTTTCCCCGAAAATAAGACAGTGTCTTATATTAATTTTTGGTCCCAAAGATGCGCTAGGTCTTATTTTCAGGGGATGTCTCATTTTTCCATGAAGAAGAATGCAGTACACGTTTATTGTTTTATTAAAAGAGACCTCGCACTTCCTATCTGCTCCAGCTGCGCTGCGGCCAACAGTGAGCTGTGCGGTGCCTGCCGCTACGGCTCAGAGTCCAGAGTTATGGTAGCTTTAGGGGTCCTTATTTTCAGGGGGATGCCTTATACTTCACCAAGAGGCAAAACTAAGTAGGTCTTATTTTCGGGGGATGTCTTACTTTTGGGGAAACAGAGTATATATGAAGTAAGCCACACCCCCAAGAGACATCATCATGTTGCGAGTGACCTGCCTAAGGGCGGCACTCCACCCCAGTCTTCCCACAACTGCTTGCTATACAGGACAGATCCCACCCTGACATTATGTTAGAGTACATGGGGGTGGGGGGGCTTACTGTCAAACCACTAAGGGCGGCTTAGCCAAGCTGACCTAAAACCAAACTATCACAGACACACGGGTAGATGTCAAGTGGACAGCAGTGAATGGTGGTCCCAGAGCCCAAAGTGTCTTGGCTTGAAGGGGCTCCCATGGCTGATAGGCCTGTGACGTCAGGCCGTGAGACCCCAGCCCCTACAAAGGGAGGGCTTGTTGATCATCTCCAGATGGCGATCCTCAGTCTGGTCCCCTCCACCTGTTCTTGACGGTGACAGTCCGTCATCAGTGCTGGCTCCAGGCAGGGATCTGGTACCCCGTGGACACTCTCAGGAGCTCTCCCGGGGGATCTGCCAAAAGAGGGAGAAAGGAGAGAACTGGCCTGGACGAGGGCCTAGAGCACCTTTGGGACTTGCTTTTCCCAGAGAAACGTGTCCCTAGCCAGGGTCAAAAGCCTGTGTGGCCTGCTGTCTCCAGCTGAGTCAGTACAGCCGAATTCCTGCTGGTGGACAATAGGACAGATCTACCCGAGGACAGACAGCGTCCACCAATCCCAGATGCTTTGGGTCTTCACACGCACACACCCATCTCCCCACCCCCCTTCTGCTATATCAAGTCGGGAGTAGGAAGCACTAAGTCCTTTGAGAAATGCCACCTCGTCCTGAGACCTGGGGTCCATTGTTGGCCTGGGCCCTAGGGAATCGGCTTGTTGCCCCCTAGCAGGTGGGCTGCTATTCAGTCCACAAGTTGGTGGGTCTCCCCACTGCACAAAGGATTAATTCCATAGGGGGCCAACTGGATTCTTGTTGGTCAGCAGTTTGAAACATCCGCCGCGCCATGAGAGAGATTTGCGTGCCGGTCAAGATTGACAGTCTCGCTGGGAAACCCACAGGAGCAGTTCTACCCCGTCCTAGAGGGCCGGTTGGAGTTGGCAGTGGGTTTGAGTTTCTGAGCCCAAAACAATGTCTCGTCCCAATCTGGAACAAGTCATTCCAGAGATACACTGCACCCCAGGCCTTGCCCTGTCTGTTCATTCAGCCACCCCTGGGCCAGTACCACCTCCTTACAATACCCTATCCGCCCCATCTGCTCCAACTGGCTCTGTGCTGGCTTGGCCTGAGCTGGGTGCCGCCCTGCCTTTGCCCCATGAGTACCTCACTATCCCAAGAGCCCTGCAGCTCTCGGTCCCTGGATCCTGTTTCCTGATAGTGGCTCAGTCACTGTCTCAGGCTGAGCCAGGTCTCCTGGATCTACCCCTGCTTGGCAGCATCCCTCAGCAGGCTTTTTGGAAGTCGCCTGCCTCGGAAACCCACAAGGGCAGTTCTACCCAGGCCAGCAGGGTTGTTGTGAGTCCAACCTGCCGGAAGGGAGGCAATGCGTCTGGTGGTTCAGTTTCCTCCGTCCCTGAAGGCAGCCCTCCTTTCAGCACGTTCCCTGAGCCCCCCGGCTGGGAAAGCCCAAGTGTATATTACATTCCTTTTGTACAGGATTGATTTTTGCAGCCCCTCTCGAAGGCAGGCGATGCCCAAGCCCTAGGAGTGTCTGGGCCATAAGAGAATGTCAGGATGTAACACACACACACTCTCTCTCTCTCTCTCTCTCTCTCTCTCTCTCTGGGTAAAACTTAGGAGAGGGGCCTTGTTGCTTTAGTAGCCTAGTAAGGAGCTGGGCTGTGAACCTCAAGGTCAGCAGTTCGAACCCACCAGCCGCTCCAAGATGAGGCTGTCTGCTACCATAAAGGTGGACAGCCTCAGAAACCCACAGGAGCAGTTTCCCGTCCTAGAGGGCCTCTGAGCCAGCATCTACACAGGCAGTGAGCCTACTCTTTGACTTTCTTTCTTCTCTCTCACCCCCTCCCCGTCACCACAGGAGGAACCACTCCAAGTGCCTGGTCCACTGCAAAATGGGGGTGAGCCGGTCGGCGTCCACCGTCATCGCGTATGCCATGAAGGAATTTGGCTGGTCCCTGGAGAAAGCGTACAACTACGTGAAGCAGAAGCGCAGCATCGCGCGCCCCAACGCCGGGTTCATGCGGCAGCTGTTGGAATACGAGGGCATCTTGGATGCAAGGTGGGCCGGCGCCTGTCTGCATGCTTCCCCCCCTCCCCCCAGCACCATGCTGGAAGGGGTGGGCTTCCATGGCCAGGCTCCTGCCCCGTGGACAGGGTGCCAGTTAGAGACAAGCAGCGTGGTTGGGGGTTTCCCCGAGGGTCCTGTCTGGGTTCTCTACTGGGCACCGGCAACCAGCCTGGTGGCTTCTGGATGAGGAGGGCATCTGAGTTCTCACCCCAGGCCGCACTTGTGGGGCAAAGGCTGTGCATGTGTCCCCGTTCTCCTGCATTTGCTGCGAGGCGGGTCTGCTGTGCTGGCTTCTTTGCTGCAGGCCAGCCATCCTCGCCCCCTGGTGCCTATGCACGGCACCCCCTCGCCTCCCTGCCTCTTCTGAGTGGCAGTCATTTTACCTCCTGCAGGCGCCTCACATGTACACCCCTCTGGACCCCACTCTCTCTCTGCAGAGAAGGCAGCACACCCGGGGACAGAAACGTGCTCCCAGCCAATGCCAAAAGCCCGTGTGGCTTTCCGTCCCCAGCTGAGTCACTACAACCGAGTTCCTGCTGGTGGACAATGGGAAAGACCTACCCGGGGACACAGACAGCCTTCTGTGGGGTAGGGGAGCAAGGCTGTCTGCCTCAGGGCAGGGCATCTGATAGGACTCCACCCAGGCCCGGGGTCCCCCATGGACACTCCAGGCTCTCTGGCCTGGATCAAGTCACTCTACCCTGCCCCACCCTCACCCCACTCCCTTCCCGTTCTGTGTGTGCAGCAGAAGCCCCCCCCTCGTCGCCCGCCAAGACGACGTTGTTACTCCTGGAAGTGGGTTACTTGTTTACTCTAATCCTGTCTGTCTGTCTCTCTTCCTCTGTCTCTCTTTCTAGCTTTCTAGCGCAGCAGCGGCGGCTCGACATTAGGGGGTTTGGGTTTTCCGAGTTCCACCCCAGACTAGAAGGTTATGATTAAAAATGGACCCTTGCTTTCTGGAGCCTAAACAAGGATTTTCCGTTCCCTGGGTTCGCCCAAACCTCTCCATGCTTCCCATGGGACTGAGTAGTTGTTAATAGTGGGTGTGGACATTAGGCTCTGCTTACAGAACAGAGATCAAACTCACTGCCATTGAGCCAGTGCTGACTCAGAGTAGCCCCATAGGACAGGGCAGACCTGCCCCTGTGGTTTTCCGAGACTGTCACTCTTAATGGGGAGCCGTGTGAAGAGAGCCCAGGTGACTTCCCTGTTGCTGCCGAGATTGAAACCCCGCCGAACAGGACTCCTGTCTGTGGTTGCATGGCTGGTAGAGGGGCCTCACGTGGTCACTCTGTGTGTGTGTGATTGTTGGAAGTGAACATACACACACACACACTTCCGGGGCGCCCCAGTCATATGTGACCCCCTTGGAGAACAAGATTGCTGTAGCACCGCCTCAGGCCCGCATGCTGGTCCCCTCACAAGCCTCCCTGACCACCACCACCACCAGGGACCATTTCTCCCCATGGGCACCACCAACTACAGTCAAGAGCCCACCTGCCACCTCACCTGCTTCCTATTGGCCGGAGATTCAGGGTATATTCCGTCCTCCCCGCCCTTGGGCTCGTGGCCCGAACATACACAGCCCACTGGAGGCAGTCACCTCAGCCCTGGTAGGGGCGAGAACATGTGGAGAACCACAGTCAGGTCACCTGTCCCCCTACCCCCAGGTTCTCTTGCATGCCAAACAGGTGGTGGTGGAGCCCGTGCTGGGCTGTTTGTTTAATTTGTTTGCACCTTAATGAAGCGTACAAGTTCACTCTGCATCTAGCCATTTCAAAGACCCAGAACTTGAATCCAACAGTCATGAGTGTCATTTGCTTGCAGGAGTCACAGGGCCTGCCCCTGCTGGCCACCAAGCCACCCACTCAACCTCCTCCGCTTTCTCCCCACAGCAAACAGCGGCATAATAAGCTGTGGCGGCAGCAGACGGGGAGCAGCCTCCAGCAGGCCTCGGGGGACCCCATGGGCCCTGGAGATTCCTTGCCAGAGGCCCTGGACAGCTCCCTGGATGCCCGGCTGCCAAACCTGGACACGGCAGCCGCCTGCTGCTTCCGGCGGCTCTCGGACCCCCTCCTGCAGCCCCCCGGCAGTAAGACGGGCAGCTCGGTCCACCTGGACGAGCTGGAGAGGGACGTCCAGCTGGAGGAGACGGCTCAGCTCCTGGAAGGCTCCAGACTCTGCACGAAGGACTTGAAGAAGAAACTGGAGTTTGGGAGCTCCCTGCCTCCGCAGGAGGAGGTGGACAAGGGGGAGGAGGGCCCGGCCGCAGGGAAGTGGGGGCAGACCTGCCGCCGGCCGGACGCTAGCCTGCTGGACCGGGAAAACATCAACAACAACAATAGCAAGCGGGGCTGCCCGGAGGACTTCGAGGTAGGCACCCCCC